CGGAGCCGAAGTAAAAAGATCATGACACGTGGTCATGAGGTATGGCCGGAGCCGAAGTAAAAAGATCATGACACGTGGTCATGAAATACGGCCGGAGCCGAAGTAAAAAGCATTATCATGACACATGGTCATGAGCTACGGCCGGAGCCGAAATAAAAAAGATCATGGGTGAAGACTTAAAAAAGTATTTAATCGTGCAATTCCTTTGGAAAAAGGTTAAAGTGAACAGGGATAAAATAAAATAAAATGAAGTGCAATAAAATGATTTGATCGAGGGTGACAGCTGTCCTCGCGTGCCGTGCTGCAATAAATGATGTCAGGAATAACTGCCGAATTCGAAAGGACGCGATCGCGGCCGTTGAACGTGGGCGATCGTGACCGTGGAAACGGTAGAGAGGCTGGGTATAAATAGCCAGCCTTGAGTTATTCATAATTTTACCTTACTGAATTTATAGCGGAGCCCTGCCGAAATCGCGAGACAGCACTTCGTCTTCCGAGCTGACTGCTGCAGAGATCGTGGTATTTGCCAGAATTTGTACCAAGTGCTAGACTTCGTCGCAGAAAAGCAGGTAACTCTGAGCTCTACCTCGGTCGATTTTAATCTTGTTTTAATTTTATTAGCCTAGGTAAGGGGGTTAAGCAATCAATAGGAAGGGGGAAAAAGACAGTTTATAGGTGATTCTGATCACTATGCGTGACGTACTTCTTGTAGTGAAGGCTGATAGCGGAGATGTCGTCTGAAGGAACGCTTAGTGTTGGAGGGGGAGAGGGGATAAGGGATGCCAGTTCGAGTTCGATCTCGACTTCGAGCTCGAGCTCGAGCTCGAGCTCGAGTGGGGAGAGTGGGGGTAGGACCTCTGTCGGGGGGGGATACGGGGGAAGAGAGGGTGGCCTTGTCCCTACCAATATTTTAGAGGTGGGTGGCGGCCAGGGGAAGTGTTATGATGAGAGGGACGAGGTAGTGGGGGAGGTGGTAGGATATGAATCGTGTTGGAAGTGTAGGGGGGAGCTGGGACACTTGGTGGAGAACTACAGTATCCCACCCCATGTGCTGGTAAGGCCAGCAGGAGGTGAGGAGCGAGCGTGCTCGGCTCCAAAAGACCATTGGATGCCCTTGTACGCGCACTACCTCGCAGCTGGGCTCCGGTTCCCAATCCCGGAGTTGCTGGTAGCGCTGCTGAAGGAGTATGGGTTGGGGTTAACGCAGCTCGTCCCCAATGGAGTTCGGTTGGTAGTGGGTTTTGTAGTGTACTGCCAGCTCCGGGGGGTGCGGATTCCCACTGTAGATTTATTTAAGTATTTTTTTTATAATCAAGGGGGGTAGTGGGAGGGAAAAGGGGTGGTTTTACTTCACACCTCGGGTAGCTGGAGGTAGGAGTAGGAATCTGTTCACTGCAGGTCCTACCTCCATTAAGGGGTGGAAGGAAAAATTTTTCTTTGTAGATGATACGGAGTGGGGGAGGGGGAATAGGGAGGTAGAGGAGCTGAGTAAGTGGAAAGGGAAGAAGAGAAACCCAAACCAGTACAGGCTGGGGGAGGTGGAGAAGGACGAGGTGAAGATGTTAGAGAGGGGTGGGGGAGAGCTGACGAACATAATGTACCTCACCAGCCCAGAGGTGGTGGAGTCGTCTGGGATCTATGGGACGAGCTCGTTGAGCAGAGGTGTGTGCTAATTAAAGTAAGGTTCTTTATAGAGTAGGAGTCTGATTGCAATCTTTTGACCTCATTTGGTTTTGCAGAAGAAATGAATCGTTTGAGGGCTGGGGGCAGACCAATACGGCTACCGGAGAAGAGGTCAAGGGCGTCGGCCCCAGGTGCTCAAGAGGAGCGAGTTGGGGGTGAGGCAGCAAGGCCTCGAGCTGAGGTGGGGCCTAGCTCTGAGCCCAGGAGGGGTGTGACTGAGGAGGTCGTCGCCCGAAAGAGGCCAAGGGTGGAGGAGGTGCAGCCTCTGCAGATTGAGGCCCCGGTCAAGTTCGTACCTCGGCCAGCCCCAGTTCAGATTGACCCGGCACTTCGGGAGACTGAGGTGGTGGCGCCTGGTAGGGGGAAGAGCTCCGTTCCTTACCCCAGGCAGGTGGCCAGCTTCTACGATTCGGGGAGGACGGCTGCAAAGCGCTTCATTGGCGCTCACTTCCCCGAGGTGGACCTTCAAAGGGCAAAGGATGAGGTGGCCCTCAGTGGGGGGGCTGGGGTAGTTCGGCAGGCCCTGGAGGTAACCTCCTTTGGTTTTTAGTTTTTTTTTTTTTTTTTTTTTTTTTTTTT